AAAAAAAAAAATTGTCATCCTAAAGAACTCTGGCCTGGGACAGATTCTGAAATTAGTATTAGGTTTTGAAATAATTTCAAATAAAGAATAGAAAGTTAGAAACCGGGAAAAAAACTTTGGGAAAATTTTATAACAAAATTGCGTACTAAAAAAATAAATAAAAAAATTGCCTACTACATAGTAAAAACCTCCCAATATATGAAGGGACCTCCTGTGTGATGGCCACAGCATGGGCTATGAAAACAGGACGAAGCCGCAAAGGACTGAAAGGAACAGAAAAAGTCTGAAAAACCATAAACAATACCGGTACCCCAAACGCGTCCCATAACGGGCCTCAATGGTACCGGCCTGGCACAAACTACTCCCCAACAAACATGGAAAACCGTGTAACAAGGAGCATTGGGTGAGTAAAATTTCAAACTTTCAAAGTTGTATGTATTCCACACTTGCCGGTGGAGTACGAGCCGAATTGACACTTCCCAGAATGGATATGGAGCTGGGGCCGTCAGGCTCTGTTTTTCTCAAGAAAATGAAAAAGAAAAAGAAAAAGAAAAGAAAAAGAAGGTACTCAGGCAGCCTTTATTCTGTAATAACACATGGATCGCGAACAATGCAGGCCGCCTATGGTCACAGTCTTCCACCGACCATAGATGGTTCTCTTCTTCTTCTTCTTCTTCTTCTTCTTCTTCTTCTCCTTCTTCTTCTCCTCCTCCTCCTCCTCCTCCTCCTCCTACTCCTCCTCCTCCTCATTCTCTCCATCACTCTGCATGGAATCACACTACTACACAATAACAAGATGGGCTTCTTCTTCTTCTTCTCTTCTTCTTCTTCTTCTTTTTTGTCTTCTTCTTCTTCTTCTTCTTCTTCTTCTTCTTCTTCTTCTCTTCTTCTTCCTTCCTTCCTCCCTTTTCTTCCTCCCCCATCCCCTCCTCTTCCTCCTCTCCGCTTGCCTTCCCTCGTCTTCCGTCTGCTTCCCCCTGTGTAGTACCTGCACACATACTGGTAGTGCTTGTGTAGTACCTGCATGCATAGCAGTAGTGCTTTTGTTTTTTTTGTTGTTGGGATAGAGCATAGAGGGGTTGAATGGCTGTCGTATACACGTTGTTCAATTGTAAAGCGGCCGCAGAGGGCAAAGAACAGAAAAGACCAAAAAGTTTCTGGAACAAATATGTCATGTTAAAGAAGTTGAGCTGGTGACTTTCACCGCTTCGCGCCTATAGAACTTTTCATCCTGTTTCAAAATTAAAAAAAAAAAAGAAAAAAAACTTGTCATCCTAAAGAACTCTGGCCTGGGACAGATTCTGAAATTCGTATTACATTTTGAAATAATTTCAAATAAAGAATAGAAAGTTAGAAACTGGGGAAAAAACTTAAAGTTTTATAACAAAATTGCGTACTACATAGTAAGAACCTATTATGGAGTGTGGTATGAGCACCTCCCCCTAATAGGCCTATTTGGATCACTCCATCTATTGGTGGGGAGCTGCACCTGGTACGGAAACAGAGTCCAGTGTCCCTCATAAACATGATAATAATATAATATGAATTTTGAAATGAAGCGATAGAGCATAGTGACCGCCGATCCATGGCCTGGGGCCAGGTCCCACTTGCGCAAATTAGGAGATTTGGGCCGTTGATCTTTGCTATCTACGGTCAGTATCTCTTAATTCGTGCAAGTGGGACCTAGCCCCTGGAGGCTGGAACTGATGATGCCAGCCTGAGATCAGCAGGAGATGGGAAAGAACTATGAACCTGAACCCAGACGTCAGGATCGAGATCGCGCAGGTGAACGGTCAGACGAGTAAACCAACGAAAATTTGAAGTGTGCAATGGCTGATCGCGTATGCATCCTTGCCGGTTAATCAGTAGCTTCACGAGAAAAGGAAATGCGCAGAGGTGTTGTACTTTCCACATGCGCTTCTCCACCCACGAGAGCCATCTATGGTTGCTGGAAGACAGTGACCATAGGCGGCCTGCATTGTTTGCGATCCATGTGTTATTACAGAATAAAGGCAGCCTGCGATCCATGCGCTTCTCCAGTCATTGCCTGCTACAGTCTTCACCAGAATAGAACGCCCCTGGTAGAGCACGCCGCCGCTCTCGCAGCATCATTATAGCTGTATCTAGACTGAATGAAAGGATTCACGGCACTCAGACGTCTTGGTCCCAAAGTCCCAGAGATCCAAAGTCCCAGAATCCCAGTTGGTCCCAGTAGTTGTCCCAGCGCCTGTTAGTTAGGTCCTAGGTCGAATAGAGGCCCGGTAGCCAAAAGTCGCAGTCCGGTAGGAAGTAGGGGTAGGTCTGATAGGCCGAGTCCCCCAAGGCCGAGTCCCCCAAGCCCTGATTTTGCAGCAGCGGGCCAAGTCCAAACGGGCCAACCGAACCCACGAACATGCAGTCAACTGGCAAGGCCGACGGTACCGGCCCAGACGACGAACAAGTCAGTCAAGCGTGCTATTAACAGTGGCTACAGAGCAGCGACCCGGTGGCAGTTCAGTTGCGACTTTGCGGAAGCGCTGCAGGCCACTTGTGCATTGGTGCGACTGGCGGCCATAGCGCTATTAGCGCTGGATTAGGTTTAGCGCGCGGCACAGGCCGGCACTGGTCGAGGGAGGTCAGTGCATGTATTCAGGGTAGACCGTAGAAGCAGGTGCGAGAGGGAGAGCGAGTGAGGCGAGCGATACAAGACTGGAGAGGGAGAGAATATCACGGAAGAGAGAGAGAGCGGAAGTAGAATAGGTTGAATGTTACATACCTGAGGGAGTCGAAGCTAGGCGCCAGAGTGCACAGTGGACATTGCCGCTGTACATACAAACTCGTTCATTATATTTTCATAAATTTCATTATAATTTGAGCAGATTCTTCGAGTCTGCTGTTTCACGTTCCTTTTGTGTGTGAGGTGTGAATCTTCAGTGAGTGTTCCGCACGCTGCGGTGAGTTTGATTCGGTTCCTTACATGGATCATTGTGAAACAGTTTTCACCTTTGGCAGTAGCCGATGCAGATCCCAGGGGTCGATCCCTTGACCTCAGCTTACCTGTGTACAGTATCTGCACAGTTCCCTGGAGTTG